AGCCGGGGGGCCCGCCTGCGCCTTGACGGTTATCGCCGTATTGGGGCCCTCCAGGGTAGGGGGGGCTTTGCTGCTGTTGTCCGCCGTAGTTTGGCTGTTGTGGGTATTGGTGTTGGGAAGGGTATTGTTGTTGTTGGTGTTGAGGAGCACCTCCTGCGTAGTTCGGGGCTGAAGGGTAGCCGCCTTGTTGGGGAGGTGGGGATGAGTATTGCGGGGCACCCGGGTATTGAGGTTGGTTTGGATATTGGCCTTGTTGATAGCCTTGATCCCCGCTGTAATATCCTTGGTTTGACATGTTGTGTTGTAAACTAGAGTGTTTTGTTTGTGGTTGAGATGTTGGTGTGTCTTTGTGGTTGGGAGAGGGGTAAGATGTAGATGTGGGAACAGAATAGAGGTCAGGAGAAGAGAAGATGGACGTCTTAATATACACACAACGGGTCTGACAGTCGGCGGCCGCGCCACAATCTAAGCAGTAGAGTGAATGGAGGATGGCGGGGTGGTAATACAGTACGAGCATTTTGATAGGATGAGCGTGATAATACCGAGTGCTGCGCCAACGGAGTACCTCTTCACTGCACGTCAGCCGCCCCTGACACTGAATGCTGCCATCTGCTTGCTTTGTCAGGATTCGAATCGATTCCCATGTTGCACTTGGTAATATTATCTCCATCTGCATCTGCATCTGCATCTGCATCTGCATCTGCATCTCCAACTCCAAGACTCCCTCCTCACTCCCTCACGAAGCCATATCAAGTTGCACATACTGAAAGCCGCGAAAGTGATTGCGAGTAGCGCCAAGAAGAGAAGGCTGAGTGAGCTTCACTGCTCCGTACTGACGTTGCCATGCTATCCGGGCCCGCCGCTGCAAGTCAAGTCCCCTCCCCTCCCCTGCAGCAACGACGGCAGGGCTGTGGCTGTGAAGCATCGCAAAGACTCTTCGCAATCCAATCGTGGCGCATGCATCTTCCATTCCTAAACCGTCCAACCGGATACTGCACAGTACAGTAGTACACTTACGGAATACGAATACAGTAGCCGCTCGAGGTGAGGACTTACTCCGGGCGGCTGAAATGCGCGTCCTTCGAATCGTTTGCCATTTTCGCGTTTAAGGGTTGGGTGGGGTGGGTGGCAGGAGATAAAATACCCCACTCCCACTCTCACTCACTCTCTTCGGTTCGGCTTCTCTCTATATACATCACGTGAGCATGTAATAGTAGTTGAGAAAGAAGATATCGTGCTATCTTACATCAGGATAGAATCTAGATATGCATTTTAACTACTCGAGTATCTTATCTTTTAACGAAGTATGCTGGTACCATATATGACGTCATGTGACCTGATCGATCCAGGGAGTATCGGGTCTCAAAAAACAGGCAAGATATTCAGCATAGGAGAGGGACGAAGAAAATTCCAATGCAATTACTGAATGTTGAGTAACCCTTATCAGGATTTCAAAAGTCGATACAGTACCTCAATGACAGGCCATGCGCCGAGTCATCCAAGCCACGTTAGGCATCTCGTCCATCTCGTCAGCACCCGGCTTACTGATCCCGAAATGCAAAGCTTTACCCGTCGATGAATTTTAGAGCTTTCAATTGAAGTAAGCAATACTCATTTGAAGCCCACGTTTATTTCTATTTAATCGACAGTAATAGAGGTCTCCATTCCAAAGCGTGCCAGCGCCATCACCATATCATGTTCTATAACCCACTCTCCAGCCTCCTTTATTTTATTTCTTTGTTTAGCAGCCCTGCGTGTGACCGTCAAGGCTTTGTCTATAACCCTTCTCCCCCACTGCCACGTTTCCAACCCGACACTGAATCGAATCAGATTTTCCAAGGCGCCCTTCTTGTTTTTCTATCATTTCAATCTAGTCAATAACTCCATTTCGTACTGTTATAGCACAATCTCTTACCTGTTCTTGCGCAAATGCCACTGAAAAGTCTGTCCCTACCATTGGACCTTTCGCAAGTTTCAATGCATCGTAGAAGTTGACTGCATCCTCTCGTACATCGAACTTGATCGACACGACATTGCCGTATTTCCCGTTGGGTCTTCTACAATCATTATATAGTCTCTTGGTACTATTGATTGAAGGGTAGTAAACCTTGAGTTTAACCCCAGTAACTTTTCTCAAATACTGCGAGAGTTTGGCCTATCAGCTTTGAAATGATTCATGAATTCTTAAACCTACCTTTACAAGGCGTTCTGCGTTGACAGATGCAACTTCGGCCCGTCGCTTGAATTTGTGACTGGTGAGTGCCATGACATTAGCATCGTGGGGATGGTATGTATCGACAAATTTTCGACTCAAACTCTCATGCAACCAATCGTGGTATTTCGAGCGAGGGTTGATCGTAGCGCTTTAAGACGAATTAGCTGTGCTGTTCCGAAGTCTACAGATTTGAAAGGACTCACGTCCCGCCCATAACATTGCAATCACCGCTGAAAAGCTCCCCAAGGCTCGTGACGATAATGTCGGCGTATGGCAAGAGGTCCAAGTTCACCGAAGTTCCCAATGTGTCGTCACACACAACGACAAATCCGTATTCGTTTGCAAGTCTTCTAATACGCATCAAATCGGGAGTCCTCAGAAATGGACCTCCGGGAACTTCGCAAAAAAGCGCAAGATATTTCGTTCCACCCTTCAATTCCTTTGCCAGAATATCTAGATCTGCTTTAGTTCCCTCCTCAGACCATTTCAGAGAGAGATACTCAGACGCCCCGAACAAGGCGAGAGTGTTAAAGGTATCTAAGCTTACACCGTAGGCGACTGTGCGCTTTGCAGCAGGTCAGCATGTTTCTTCAAATCGCGCTGAAAGCTTACCCTGACATCAAACAAACTTCTGATTGCTCGATAAACATCATAGATTGCCTGCAAATTCTGGGAGTTAGTAATCTGGAAAGATCCAAAAGTCGAGATTTCTAATCTCTCCGAACGGCGCAGACATGCAAATCATACCTTTGTACCTGATGGATAGAGGAAGACATCTGTTGGGGGAACGCCAACCAGCTTTGAAATACGTAATCTGATGATGTTTTTATCCTCGCAGAGAAACCTAGTTCGAATTGGTGAATTGTCAACAGCCTGTGCCACCCTCAAAGCTCTCTGCCACCTCCCAGGAGTGAACAGACGCCCTTCGTGCTGGAAAATCGTGATAAACTCCACTGGACCTAGTTCTTTAGCCACTATCTTGAGGCAAAGCTGGGCCTGGCGGCTCGAGATTCCTTCTCCTGTCCGTTCCCAGAATTTCCTTGCCTGGAAGTAGGCGTGATTGCTGCATTCGAAGGTAGTGACGCAGAACCATATGGCCGTTTGTTTTATCTTTGCCTTTGTGCCTGGTGTACGACCTATTGGGTATAAGGTTCGGATCCTTACATCGAATCGGAGAGCTATTCACGCCATCAGCTTTCAGATTTCTCACAAAATCTGGGGCATCTAAAATAGGCGCACGAAACTTAGGACTCACCTGAATACCTTTCCATGAACTTCCGGCATTTTAGTGCCGCGCTGGGTGTGGAAAATAGGAGGATACGAAAGCCCTTTCGTGGAGGAGCGATGATGGATGCGGCAAGGATTCTGAGGCAGGGGTGGATGAAAGAGCTAGTTGTTCGTGAGTAACGGTGCTTCGGTAGGTGATGGTGATCAATTCAAACGGACTGTGGATATCCTGTATATCAATAATTAGCACTGCAAGCAAAAGATCAGTTCAGCTCAACCACATACCCCAGTTCACCTTGTCCATGATCTCACTATCGCCCTTCGCCCATCCGCTGTTGTTCCAACTGTTAGCTCTCTCTGAAAGGTTTATGGCTTTGGGACAAAATGCCGGGAAGGGCTTACATTGAGTCCTTCCATGTCGGTAATGAGATACCGAGAGCCTGTGATCATCAGCTGCGCAAATTTCAAGATATCACAATGAGGCAACTGACATGAAGATCTTCAGGAGGCACTTCAGACCCGAACTTTAACGGTAATGGCCAGCTCAGGTACAGATTGTTGTGGAATACGCTTTGATCCATGAGGCTGTAGAACTTTTGTATGAGATATTATGTTGTTGTGAAAGTTTGAAAGTGTCGGGAACCATTGTGAAATATATTCGACACTACACCGTCGTCGCTTCCCCTTTCGGCAGCAAAGCATGCAAAGATGCCGAGGATGAACCCTTTTTCATTCCCACGAAAGCAAATCGATTGACTGGAATATGCATAACACATGTATAAAATAACAAGCTAACCTACCGTATATTCCTCAAATATACTAAGCATTGTATGTCATTTTACATTGAAATCATGGTAATATAAAACACAAGAGGAGCAATAGCAAATAAATCATCAAACCCAGAACTCCCTAAACCCTCTAATAATACCTTCCGCTTCGTCGATGCTAATCATATCATTCGTTCCAAAAACGCCCATATCGATCTTCTCCCCTTCATATCTAATTTCAATGTCTATCGTAGGCTTCAAAACATTAGCACGATTCTCAACACCAAATACCTGTGTCGCATGGCTTACCAGATACGCATCCCCGCCACCAGAGATCTCAAAATCAGGACTCCTGCCCACATCCACATCCACAACAACCGCCTTCTCTTCAAACTCCTGCAGCGGCTGAAACACTGCTTCACTTCCTGAACTCACAGCCGACTTCAAGATATTGACGAAGAAGTCAACTTTCACGCCTGTCCATTCGAAAATCTGGTTCAGTGATGCAGACGACATGTCCTTATTGCCGATCTTGGTCAGATCTGTTTGGATGTCTTTCGCGAGTTCCGGTATGCCTCTCTCCATTGATCTGTTGACGCGAAGCGGAAGTAGATTGAGGGTAGGTGCTGCGAGACTTGATAGATCTTCGCCGAAAGGAGCGCGATTTGCTAGGTAGATGCCGAATGTAACGCCTGAGGACGACGAGTGCTGAGCATATTGTTTGGAGATGCCAGCGAGGAGTAGAGCGTCGATGCTGACGCCTATTTCTTGTGCCAGTGCTTTCAAGGACGATACTTTCATGGACGGACAAAAGACTTCAGTTCTCTTGCTGCGTGACACAGGTAGAGTACCATTCGTACCTTTAGTCTTCAGGGGTATTGTTCCCTCGAGGTAAGATATCCAATTTCTTTTCGATGTGAATAAAGATGATATTGAATGGGCCACGAATGCCTTGAAGTCTCCAGGTGAGGACTCGAGTTTATGTCCTTCATACAGCGCTTGAAGCTCTTCCACTAGTATAGGGAGACTGATACCATCATATAACGCGTGATGTATTGCCAACTTGATTGTCGTCCCTGAGATCTTGGACTCTTCGACCTCGAGGCTTACCGGTGGTGATCTCAAATCCGAACCAACAGACCGTGTTTTGATATAACTAACCTCGTTCTTGGGGTTATTGTAATTGATCTGCACAACATCTGAACCGACCTCGAGAAATCCAGTTCGAAGAATGGCGTGCCTTTGCAGAAGTTCTGTCCAAGCTGAATCGAGACTAGCTCTGTCAAAGCATCCAGCAACGGAGTAGCTGAACGTGGGAAAGAACAGTACACCACGAGAAGCTTGCCACTGTCTGATCATGTATAACTGCCCAGCAGTGACTGGCATGACATTTTCAATCTCTCCGACATCGCTTTCAACTTCCTTCAGTTGGTGGGAGATGTCCAGTTTTGACATGGCATTTGACAGGACCGCATCAACATCCAAAGTCTGTTGACTTTCTGGCTTTGAGCGAAGTACGCATCGCGCCATTGCATACACAGTCTGCTCTCTAAGAATATCGGACACACTCAGCTTGATGCCGTGTTCTCTCAACAGGGCTGGCAATTTGAGCACCAAGATCGAATCGAGACCTAGATGGAAAATGGTGGAGCCTTTGTGTATCATATCTTCCGAAACCCCGGAAATTTCGTGCAGAGCCTTTCGAATATTCAGCTCCGGTTCGGACCATTCATCGCTGACACCGTTTGTGACCGATGTAGCTTGTCTTTGAGGTTTTGGATCAGTCTTTTTGAATCTGGGAAGGCCACACACGGATATACCATCGGCATCCGAGACAATCGCCGGAGCTTGGGATGTTGAAACGATGCGGCTAAGAACAGCATCTAACGCTTCGACAATCTCATCCGTCTCGCTGGCTGTTCTAGCAATTGACTTGCACGCCGTAGTCCAGGTTAGGTATTCATCATCCACAATCTCCATCTCCACACACACAGGGAACTCCACGTCCGAAGCGCCATACACAGCCTCGTAGAGTTGCTGTCCAGCAGCACTCGTGCGACGTCCTTGGTAAATGAACAGCGTATCAAATAGAGTCGTCTCCTCCTTGCCTCGTGAATTATCTTGTCTCGAGGCTAGTGCATATGCTTGTGCTGTGCCGAGAGGGAAATGCTGGTACTGGCGAGTGGAATCGCCGAGCTCTTGCATGTAACTGAGCATATCTCCCAAACTCCCGTGCAGCACCGATCGCACAGCCACGGTATTCATGAGCGGAAACATGACTTCATTCGCTTCTTCTGAGTCTCGGCAGGAAAGAACGGAGCCGAATATTACATCGAGTTGACCCATCAGGTGAGAGAGCACAAGTGTCCAACACGTTTGACCGAGAGTTTGAAGCGTGATTCTGGAAGATTTACAGATAGCCTCGATATCTTTCAGGGGAACTCTAGACCGCTTTTCTAAGCGATGAACGGTTGGTTCAAAAGATTTAGTTTGCCCTTTCCTCGGAAACGTGGCTGCTGGTAGGTTGGAGAGTGTTGATCTCCAGAATTTCTTGGCATCCTCAGTCGTGGACTGTACAACTTGCTCCAAGAAAAGCAGGAAGTCTGGTCTCGAGGAGAGCTTTCCTTGATAGGCCTGGTAGATGTCTTCATGTAACGCTCGAAGAGAAGTCCCATCGTACAAAGCGTGCGAGATAGCCATCACTAAATATCGACTCTGGCCTGCCTGAACGAGACGAACTTGACAAAGTGCATTTTCTGTTTTCGCTAACATAGCTGATTGAACCTTGAAATCTCCCATGAAAGTTTCGAAGTCCTGCCCTTTCGTTAACATGCTTATAGGGATATCTGCTGCGTTGGGCTGAAGCTTGTGAATGATTTGGGCATAGCTGACAGGCGACCGAGGATCCTCAATCTCAACAAAGGTTGTTCTGAAGATAGGGGACCTTCTCAGGACGTTATTAACAGCTTCTACCAATCGACTAGGATCCACGTCTTCATTCAGTTTGAGAGCTTCAACATTGAAATATCTCTCAAAATCAGACTTTATCATCTCGTTCACCATGCTCTGTTGCAGTGGTGTGGCAGGTAAGACGGATTCAATATCATCAGGTAGCTTATTTCTGGCCTTCAAGTACTTGGTGAGACTTTGGCTCATATCCTGGAGTAATTCACCAGTCGAGTTGTATTGTTCATCGCGATTTGCGGAGATATTGACAGCCATCTTGGCAATAGTTTGACCCTTGATGATCACACTGACAGGTAGATCGATACCCTGTTTCTTCAATCGAGATGCGAGCTTGATCACGTCAATACTATCGAGTCCAAGCTCGAATATCGAGGATGTCTCCAGAACACCACTCTCTGGGAACTTTGCCAATGAAGCGATCTCAGTCCTGATCTTCTCGGTCTGTAAGGTCCACTCGAAGTCGAAGGGTTTTAGGTTTGGGATTGCTTTTTCGGAAGAGCTGCGAGTTGCACTTGATCCGCCGTTGATATGAGAAGTACCATTTGTCGTAGTCGGTCCAGTGCGTTGGAGGACGGTGTTCTTCCCATTATTGCTCAAAATATCATGCAGCGCTCCCTCCATCGAATATAATAAGCCATTGGCGTCTGTTTTTGTGACCACAGACCCCTGTGCGACAATTGTCAGATTGAGCTTTTCACTCTTGGAATCGAGTGTAGCTTCGAAGGCAAGTGGATAATCAGCAACCTGATCGTCATCCACCTGGGACCATAGCCCAGCTGCAAGTTTCTCATCGTTTGGCTCAGAGCGCTGGAACACAAACAAGCTTTCGAACAGAGCTTGGCCTGGCCTTGCGGGACTCCATTTTTGTATATCCTTAAGAGGCGTATGCTGGAAGTCTTGCATTTTCATATTGTAATTGTGGCATTCCGAGATGAGTGCTGCAAAGGTAGTGCCTGGCTGGATTTTGATATGGAATGGCACCGTATTGAAGAGAGGACCAATGACCTTGTCTGCGCCGTCGAAATCAATAGCTCGTCCGGAGGTGACAATACCAACTGTGAGATTTGGCGAAGTGAATCTTTGCAGGACTGATAGCCAGGCGGCTTGGATCACTGCTTGAGGTGTGACGCCGAGGCTTTTGCGCAGATTTTCAAGTCCTCCAATATTGCTTACGAGACTGCTTGCCACAACATCTTGAGATGCTTTTGAGTTGATGTGCATTGGTTCGTCGCTCCATCCTCCAAGGTGCTCCTCCCAGAACTTTCGAGCTCCTGGGATGCTTGCAAGAGGTCCGTATGCTAGTGAGGATTGGAATGGTGGTCCATATTCGGGCTCTTCCTGCCCTTGGAATTCCTCGACAAATCGTTGAAGGAGCATCGTAAAGCTATTTCCGTCGTACAGAGCGTGGAACATCTGAAACTGCAAGAGTGTCCCTGAGGGGGTGGACTTGAGGCTTAGGGCGTACGGATTCTTCAACGCCTCTGATTTGTCCAAAATGTCATAGATAGGCAATGGATCTTGCCAGGAGACTTCAAGCTGCTTCAGAACCACTTGAGCATACCCATCATCAGTAGCGACAAATTTCGTGCGCATAAGTTGCAGTTGAGAAACCACCCGCTTCCAAGCGGAAAATAATTTCTCGGTATCAACGCCACTATCCAGACGGAATTCGAATTTATTGAAATAGAGAGCCAAATCACTCTCTAGAAATCGATAAATCATCCCCTCTTGCATGGGTGTGCAAGGCGCAATGCACTCCACATCTGTACTCTCGACGCCCAGCTCCTGACAAACGCTAACCGTATTCTTCTGCGAGAACGCAGCAATCTGCTGGGCAGCATCCACATTGGCATTTTCTCTTCCTTGATCAACAAGCTTGCCACTGATTAAAGCCGCAACTAGTCCACCGATGCTTGGATTACTCTTGACAACGGAAAGCTTGGCATTTTCAAAACCCGAGTTCTGAAGAGCGCGAGAGAATCCGATGATGGAAATTGAATCGAGCCCCAATTCAAAAATATTCGTGCCGCGAGTCAATACAGATATCTCAACCTGGAGCGTTTGGGCAATGGTTTCAATCGCACTATTTTCATTCTCGTTCCAATTCGAATCTGATTGATGGGGTTGGCTCAGCCTCTGTAACATATCAACACTAAGTTCATTATACATCGCCGCAAGCTGTTTTGAATCGGCTTTGTTGTTGGCATTAAGTGGAAGTGACTTAATCGGAATGAAATGTGTTGGAACCATGTAACCTGGAAGTCGGGCCTTGCACGCATTTCTCATCTCCGAGATTGCATCGCCTTCTGATTTCGAGTCGGCGATAAAGAAAGTGACAAGCTGTTCCTTTTGCTGCGTGCTGTGCTTGAGCACGAGCGTCACAACGTCCTGTAGTTCCTTTACACTTTTCTTAATTACCTCGTTGATCTCACTGAGCTCGAGACGTTGGCCACGTAGTTTGACTTGGTCGTCGGCACGACCGACGAATATGAAGCTTCCGTCAGCCAAAATACGAACAAGGTCGCCCGTTCGATATACCCGCTCGTTGAAGTAATCCAAGGTAGGGAATTTCTCCGTCGTCAGGTCTGGGCGATTAAGATATCCTTTCCCGACTAGCTTGCCAGAAACGCACAATTCGCCAATTCCTCCACGGAGCACAGGAAGCGCGGTGCTAGGCTTGAGAACAAAAGAGCCAACGTTATCGAACTGAGGGCCGATATTGGAAGGCTTTCCGTTTCCGGGAACTCGTGGGTACATTGTGACGCCAATAGTGGCTTCCGTTGGTCCATAGCCGTTGTAAATACATGCATGCTCGCCCCAAACATCGATGATCTCCTCTCTAAGTTGTTCACCGCCAGTGATAAAAACTCCCCTACAAAGAGATGGGACGTCCTTTGGGTGCAACAGCCGCGCGAGACTGGGCGTGAGATCAATGTGCGTGATACCTAGGTGCTGAATTGCACCAGATATATCTTCGAATATCAGATCTCGCGGGGCGGAAGCTACGCATATGCCTACGCTCCAACTCCAGAATTGTTCGAGCACGCTGACGTCAAAGTGGAAGGACGCGAATTGAAGCCATTTGGAGTCTTCAGTCCAATGATCGGCGAATAGTCTCTGGAACGATAGCATTGCCTGGACTGCATTTTCGTGGGTGAGCAGGCAGCCCTTCGGCGTTCCAGTGGTGCCGGATGTATACAAGCAGTACGAAACATCTTGGGGACTGATGTCCCTTGACAGTTTCGGAGCATCCGACGGGTATTCACCATAAGTTTCTTTTGAGTCCAACAAGATGGCATTCACATCCAAGCTTTCTTGAATTGCCTTACCAGGTTTTCCAGCAGTAAGAATCAGCTTCGCTCCCGAGTCCTGAACGATGAACTTCAAGCGATCTGCGGGTGCATTTGGATCCAATGCAACATAAGCACATCCAGCTTTAAGTATACCAATAATAGCGAAAGATGCTTCGGCACATTTGTCGAAACATATCGCAATGATCTGACCGGGCGCAACTTGCCGCTGGATAAGTAAATGCGCAATTTTATTCCCTTCATTGTTGAGCTCATCGTAGGTCCACGATTGACTCTCCACATTGTCAGGCTCAAGGCGGGTAGCAAATTCCAACGCATTCTTATTCGGCCATTGCTTAGCTCCCCTTTCCACAAATTCATGCAGAAGCGTGACTGGGTCTGAGAGCTCGTTTTCTTTTGCTGGCGTGATTGATAACAATGCGGTCTCGAGATTTGGAGGGCCGTCACAGATATTGTGAGGGTTTCGAAGTGTATCTAACAGGAGTGCGTCATACTGTCTGAGAATGATCTCTGAGTGCTCAGCTGGGATAATATCCTCTCTGAAGGTCAACCGAAGAGTAACATCACCTGACTCCGCAGGTTGTACTTCCATGGAGATGGCATAGTCGACAGACGCTTCCTCTCGCATGATTTTCCAAAGAGATTCAAGGTCATCCTCAGAATCAGGAAGCTTCTGGTATGCGAAGAGAGTATCAAAAATCTTGCCCTCAGGGAATCCCGCCCACTTCTGAATGGAAGTAAGGGGAGTAAACTGGTGCTTGTGGAGCTGAGCATTAGAAGCCATGGTTCTTGAAAGAAGCTCCGCATTTGTACCAGTGACATCGCATCGGACAGGAAGTGTAATGATGCTCGGGAAAGATATTTTATACGCGTCTTCATGAACTGACCGACCAGAAAGAGTCATTCCAAATGTTGTAGAAGTCTCGCCGATGTATGCTGTAAGTAGTCTTGCCCATGTTGCTTGTCCAGCTGCTTGCATTGTAATGCCATTGTGCCGACAGCTCTCCTCGAGTTCTGATATTGATGTCTGTGACTTGATTTCGCGTACCCCGCTTGTTGGAGTGGATATTCGGAGAGGTGTTAGGTCGGGGAAGTGATTAACTATGATCTTATTTTCTTCCTTTTGCCAAAATAGTTTCTTGGCTTCGCCCTCATGCTCGCTAGAGCTAATGATTCCTCCAAGTAATGCATTAATGGAAGGGCGGCTAGTGACGGTGTCGGAGGTGTACGCTCTGGTGACATCTGATAATATCATCTGAAGGGATTGTGCATCGTATAATGCATGATGAGCTTTGAATCGTAGGATATTCTCGTCATTCTCTTTGGATAGTGCCAAGCTCCATGGTTGGCGAAGGGATTGCTCTGGCGGGCTGTCTTCACCCTTGTTTTCGTACCATGGTAGTCGAATTTGAAATTTTGAGGAAGTTACCATCACGAAAGGGTCGTCGGAATCTTCGGTTGACGCAAAATTCGTCCGTAACATCTCATGCTCCTCACACACCTTCTCCCAAGCAGTTTTAAGCTTTGGCAAAGAAATTGAGGGGAGCAACTCCATCCACATGCTATTCACATATTCCTGGCCGTTCGAATGCAAACTTTGAGCAATCATACCTTTCTGGACAGCAGTACAAGGTCGAATGGCTTCTATTTGATCCGACGAGATTTTGTTTTTTGCGCAGATAGACTCCCGGTGTTTCTTATCGAAGGCTTCGAAATTAAAAGCTGTGGTATCGGAATGCGTATTAGAACGCTGTGAGAGATAAGCACCAAGTTGAGAAATGGTAGGGTGCTCCAGGATGTCGCTAGCCATGACGCTGTGGCCTTGCTTTCTGAGTCGAGTCGCGACCTGCACCGTACTGATACTGTCAAGTCCAAGGCGGAAGATACTGACATGCCTGCCAATCTTCTCCGCTGGGACATCTGTGAAGTTCGAAATGACGCTTCGTATGGCCATCTCTTCTGCAGTCATTTCCGTAGATGCCGTGCTGCTATCACTTTCTGTCTTTGCATCTGCTTTGCTGATAGACCTTGAGATGATCTCGTCTTTGACAGCAGAAGCCAGAAGCTGGCGACGAGGATGTCTTAACGAATCTTGGATCTTGTCTCCGAAGGAATGAAGAATTGCCAGCGCATCTTCAGCGGAAAGGATGGAACTGTATGAATGTAGAATAATCTCAAGGGTACCATCGCTATTCTTGGGTACAACCTCGCAAACAAGTGGGAAATCCATTACGCCATTATCTTCGGTAATCGACCAAATCGAAGCGTCTAAATTTCTAGAAGGTTGCTGTAAAATGAAAAGGGTATCAAAAAGGCGCGAGCCATCGAGACTATATTTAGATTGTAACCGCCGTAAAGGAGTAAGATGAAATTGAAGAGAATCTGCGTTGAAAGCTTGGAATTTTCGGAAAGCCTCCAGATGTGAGAGCTTATGGATATCTGAGAGGCGTGTGGGGATAGTGTTGAAGCATGGTGCCACCAAGCGCTCGATCCCTTCAACAGGTAGAGTACGGCCGCTGACGACATTCCCGAAGCAAACATCAGTCTCCTGAAGTCGTTCCGAAAGAACAGTGCTCCATGCTGCCTGACAAACGGCCAAGAGGGAAGTGCTGTGCTTCTTGATGCTGTCTTCAATCCAAGCGAGAGGAGCCGTCGCAGCAATACGTTGAATTCTAGTTGTAGGTTGTTCTCTCGAAGAAATCTTGAGATTGAATCGAGAAGGTGAATAGCCTTTCAGGACACCCCCCCAGAAGTTGTCTGCTTTATCGAAGTCCATTGATACCATATGTTTTAGAAATGGGGCAAACGAGACTGCAGCGGGTAGCATCTGGCTATGATAGAGTACCTCTAGTTCCTCGTAGAGAACACCGAGAGCCACACCATCGTAAAGAGCATGGTGCATTGAGATCAGAAGCCCTGTAGGTCCAGAAGATTTCGCAAAGTACAAGCTGTAAGGTGGCTGGAATTCGCTAATCTCAGACTGCCTTGGAATAGCTAAGGCAGCTTGTGACAGTTCTCTTTCACCGATATCAATGGACCCAAACTTCAGCTCATATTCTGCCAGTACGACCTGAGCATATGCATATCTTGGCATATCCGTTGAAACAAAACATGTTCGCAGTATCTCATGACGTCGGACCAACTCGGACCAGCAGCTTTGTATTCTCCCAATGCTGCCATTGATCGTGAGTGTTACTTGATTGCTGTACAGGTTATCAGAGGAAGAGTCTGCAGCCGACAGCATAGCCTCTTGTAAGGGTGTACATGGTAATATTGATTGGACACGCCTTCCTGCTTGTTCGAAACTCTTGGTCGTTGCATCCAGAAATCCCTCGTCAATCCCGAAGTTGATGTCTTCGACAGGAGGTTCAGTCGTAGCACCTGTATCTTCTCGGGAAGACAATCTTTCAGCCAATCTGGCTACTGAAGAGAATTTTAGGACGTCTGATATTTCAACCAAGCGATGGGTATTCTGGCGCAAAAGTCTTGAAAATGATATTGCAGAGATGGAGTCAATACCAAGGTTAAAAAAGGAGCTGTCAATGCTGACTTGTTCCAGTGGTAGTTTTGTAATCTGCGCGAGAGATTTCGCAATTTCCATCTCAATACTCGTCCACTCATGGTTTGAGGCGCTCCGTGATGCCTGAGAAGCAAGGTCTAAATATTCAACACTAAGAGTTTCATATTGTTGTACGAGAAGTCTTTTGTCGATCTTGCCTTGAGAAGTGGACGGCAAATATGAGACCGGAATGAGCGCCGAAGGAATCATGTATGCTGGCAGTGCCGACTCAAGGCTTTTGAAGAGAGAGGAAGTGATTGACGGGTTTGGATGCAAGCACTCAAGGATATTGACTTCTTCCGAAGTCGAAGTCCAGAAGCAAATTAACGTTGCCGAATTAACGTTCCCTCCATTGATTACCATAGTCATGCAATCTCGAACTTCATCGCTTCTGAGCATTACGTTGTTAATCTCCCCAAGTTCAACCCGCTGGCCGCGAATTTTCACCTGGTCGTCTTTTCTTCCCGTGAATGCCAGAGAGCCATCAGACATCAAGCGGCCAAAATCACCGCTTCGGTACAGACGTCCATATTTGGGATGGTTTATGATCTTGCCAGCTACCTGGCTTTTGTCCATATAGCCGCGGAAGACTTGCGTGCCGCCGAAACAAAACTCCCCCTCCCCACCTCTGGGGACCAGGGAAAACTCCGCTTGAGGCGATAGAACGAAAGCCGATGTGTTTTTGAGCGGAGGCCCGATGTTGTTGATGAAGTCCTTGCGTGTAACTTTCGGATTCACGGTGCATATATTTGTCGTCTCACTAGGGCCATATCCTTGGTAAAGACCTTGCTCTGCCCAAGCATTGAATACTTTCTGGGTGACCGCTTCTCCTGCAGTGACCAAGAATTGGACTTGAGGGACATTCTTCGGGTCAATCAAAGCAGCGACGGTTGGCGTTAAGCTCAAGTGGGTGACTTCCAGTACACGGATAAAAGATTCGATATCACGGAAGATGACATCTTTGGTCGCCGAACATATGCACCCTCCAATTCGCCAGGTGAAAAGTATTTCGAATACCGATACGTCAAAGGCCTGGGAACAAGATTGCAAGAGCCTTGAGTTTTTCGGTGCAGGGTACAGGTCTTCCAAGACATCTAAGTTGCTCACAAGGTTACCTTGCGTAACCAAAACTCCTTTCGGGGTGCCAGTACTGCCGGAAGTGAATACACAATATGACAAGTTGTCGGGACTAAACCTGCTAGGGATATTTTGTGAAGGGAATATTGAGAAATCGACCTTGTCCACATAAACGACCTGGACAGCTTTCAAAGCCGTTAACAAAGGCTGCGAAGAGGAGTGCGCCATGACGACCTTGACATTAGCTTCTCCTATAATATGTTTTAATCGTTCGTAAGGTATATCTGGAGTGACCGGAAGATAACCTGCGCCAGCCTTTGTCGTAGCAAGAATTGAGGCATACAAGTCAACGCTCTTCTCCATACAGACACAAACAAGCTCATCTGGCAGAACATTATGTTGTAAAAGGTGATGGACCATCTGATTGGCACGGGAGTTCAGCTGCGAATATGAAACGCGCTGAATGTCAGACATCTCAGTTCCGATAGATCTGGCAAAGTTGATGGCAGGGCGATGTGGGTCTTCGGCTGCCAATCGTTCAACAGGAGAAGCAAGAGTTTCTGGGCCGAGTCCTGTTTCTGGATTTGGATTTTCGATGGACAAAACATCATCGCCAAGTTTTCTGGAGATATCTTCCAGGGAAATGTTCTCGTCTTGAATAAAAAGAAGTACCGTTTGCTCTATTTGCCGGAGCAGAATATTGACTTGCGACTCGGGGAAAAGTGATTGCTGATAGTTAGCCTTGAGATCCACATTCCCTGTTCCCGGGATAATCTCTATAGTAAGATTAAACTCGAGATTGTCTATTGTATCAACTAATGTAACATGCTCCCTGGAATGATCAAAACTCTGCAATGTTTGCTGCCAAACGAGTAGGGTATCGAACAAGGGCTGGCGAGGACTGACCCCGCCGGCAGCCTTTATACCCGGAAGCGGAAGAGTAATGTGCTCCAAGTGCTTTCTGTTGGATGAATTGAGCTCCTGTACCAGTTCCTTGAAACTATTGGAACCAGATATGTCTATTCGAATTGGTAAGGTTGCAAGACATGGACCTGCAATGTCCTCAATACCTGGGACAGGTAGAGTGCGGCCGGAGAAAACTGTCCCAAAGCATATATCAGATGAGCCAAGATATGAGCTCAAGATTGTCGCGTAGGCTGCCTGAAATAATGATTGCGGGCTGGAACTCAGAAGTCTTGAAATACATTCGGCATCGGCAGTAGCAATCGATGTTGGCAGTCGCAAAACAGCCAACCCTGTGGATAGAGATTTTTGGCTGTGGAAATTTGGTATTTGTCGAAGCTCCAAATCCGCTAAATGATCCTTCCAATAGTCTTTCGAGGTCCAGTCGTTAGTCCTGAGCGTACCGTCTAGATATGCATTCACGATGTTGGCGAAAGGAGGACGAGATGGAAGAGTATGTTGCAACAATAAAGTGTTTAGATCGTCGAGAAGAAGCTCTAGAGACCATGCATCATATAGTGCATGATGGATGTGCATCAGAAGCCTTGTATTGGGACCAGCTTGCATGATTTGAATCCAGAGAGGATGGTGAAGAGAGGCATATTGAGACTTGCTCAGGTCATATTGAAATTCTTTCACATGCTCTACCTGTGATCTTTGGAGGCTTTGCCATATGATTTGAACGAAGCCTGGAGAGTCTAGTGATTCGGCGAACCCGGTCCTCAGAATAGGGTTTTGTTCTGACAAGGTCTGAAGAGCGGAAATGACTTGATCCACATCGGCGATTCTCGTCAACTCCAATTCTACCCAGTTGATGTAGGCTCTTTCATCAATGGCAGTCTCGGACAACATTGAAGCTTGTAATGGGGTGCACGGTATTGTTGAATCAACATCCTTTGCGTGACCATTCAAGGATATTACCAAACTCTCTGGTGTTGGATCGGTCGCGGTTTTCAATTTTTCGGAGGACATGGGCTCGGACTCGTCACAAAGCTGGACGAGCGCCTTGAAAGTCTCGGCTTGAAGAACAGCGACCGTAGTCAAATTGAATCCGGCTTTTCGCAGCCTCGAGGCTACTCTAATTGCCATGAGAGAATCAAGTCCAGCTGCAGTTAGACGTGTGTTTGTTGGAAATGGCCCGAGAAGTTTTCGTAGAGTTTCTTTTACGATTCTCTCTATTGGTGTAGCTGAATCTGCACTACCATTCTCTTCACTTTCTTTCCACTTCTGATAATTTGCTTCCAGTTTTGGTTTATCGACTTTTCCAGACGGCAAATACGAGAACTCCTGTAGTAGGACAACCTCGCTAGGCACCATGAATCTTGGGAGCCATTTAGCACATGTCTTCAAAACATCATCGGAGTCGAGGTTGTCATCTCCAACAAGAGCAAACACAACGAGAGATCCGCTAATCACCATCGCTGTGACGGTTTTCACACCTGGGTGTTTGTAGACCGCCTCTTCAATCTCCCCAAGTTCAACTCTCTGGCCTCTGAGCTTCACCTGCCCCGCACTCATGCGTCCATGAATCTCAATCGTGCCGTCCTCAAGTTGTCGTGCCTTGTCGCCAGTCCTGTATAAGATCTTTCCCTCGACATGCACAAAAGCCATTTTGTTTTGCTCTTCCCTGTTCAAATACCCATTTGCAAGTTGTGGGCCTCCCAGAACAAGTTCCCCAAGCTCTCCTACTGGCAAAACTTTGAATTCAGATTCTTTATCTTCAGAGTTAATTGCAGTCGCAATGAAAGTGGATACGGTATCAAAGGGTACACCAATGTTCCCAGGTTTAGCGCTCGCTTTCATCCTTGGGTAGATAGTGCAGTGTATAGCAGCCTCTGTCGGCCCGTACATGCCATAGAGCATGCTATTCTGCGTATCTGAGCCGCCAAATTCTTCGACAATAGGTCTCGTGAGCATTTCTCCAATTGTCAAGAGAAGCTTGAGTCCAGGCACATTTGACCTTTTTTGAAGAAGGGCACCCGCAACCGTTGGAGTGAGCTCGCAAGCATCAACTCTCAACTCATTGATCATTCCTGGTAGATCATTGAGTAATTGACTCCGATTGCATCCAACTAAAGTAGATCCGCGGATGAGAGGGAAATAGATCTCGAAGACAGAGACATCGAATGAGGGTGCAGCGAACTGGAGAAATCGCTTGAAAGAAGGGATGTGTCTTTCATGGGCAAGTAAAGACTGAGAAACAGCTAAATGGCTCACGGCCACGCCTTTCGGGGTGCCACTTGAGCCAGATGTGTACATAACGTACGCCAAATCTTGAGGAAGTATCTCACGTGATTGCTTTCGAATTGCTTCTGCTTCGGGAGGGACGGGAAATTCGTCCACAAGAATGATTTTGGGGCCATTCTCCCAGGAGACAGCTTCTTTGAACTCGGACGTGGTGATGATAAGGTCCGCAGAAACGTCCCCGACAACAAATTTGATCCTGTCTTGTGGCGCATCTAGATTGATAGGACAAAAGCCTCCTCCAGACCCTAGAACCGCAAGTTGGGAGACATAGAGGCCAGGTGACTGGGGTACAAGGACAGGAATAATATGCTGGCGAGCAGGTTCTCCAATCGTATCATGGTCCAGGTTTTGCTGTATCCGTAAAATCAAGGTGTCCATACAGCGTCGGATTTCCGCATAGCTGTACTGCCGTCGTTGATCTCGGTTGGTAAAATCAATAGCACAGCTATCACCATGGCTCTCCCATCGTATCAGCTTATGAAGGATTTGAGGCCCTTCTAGCACCTGTGGTGGATTGTTGATGGTTGAAAGTTCTTTGGCCATGTTGGGCTTCAGCATTGAAACCTCATGCTCGATTCAATATGCAAGAGCCCGGTGGGTGGAACACAAGCAGGAAGCTATCACTATAAGCCCGTCAACGCCTTCCCAAACTAGAGATAGTAAAACTAGAGATGCTCACGTGTCTAAAAATCCTGTGACGATGGTAAAGGGGAGGGGGTATGGGGCGTGATTGCAAACTCGCTTGTTATTGAAAGGAGAAACAGCCAAGGAGGTATGCAGTTGGTCAAGAGGCAAGAATATATCCCTGCGGCCTGCAGGCCGAGCAGTTATTATTCATTCCTTTTCAGTTACAATGCGGCGCAAGGGGCGGACCATCATAATGCGTTGGATAACATTATGACAGTAAGCGGAGCTGTATGAGTGGGATGAATGTTTTAGCTTGGCGTGGCTTTCCGTGCAAAGTGATCGGCTTTTTGCTTTGCATTATTTGCCTCTGCATCTGTGTCTATCAAACCAGACCCACGAGTCATGGTATTGCAGTGAAATTGGGGGTTAGTCCGGCATATGCCTGCTGCTTGGAAGAATCAATTATGGTTGGAGTGAAATAAATGGAGGTTCAAAGCTACGGTGACCGTGACGGACTTCTTGGTCGATTGACGTTTCACTGTTTACTAAGTACAACCAACCCAACCCACTTGGTCTGGCTTGGCTGGGCCGCTTGGCATTAGCAAGCAAACTTCAAAGAATTAACGCAAGGCAAGCAAGCAACTTCAATATTTCTCACTACCTACTCCGGAGTAGGTACTTCGTATTTTACTGCTTGCTGTTACCTAACAGGCTCCACGTGCACGTTAGATCTACAACAGAAAGTGGCTGGAGTGGCAAGATGGAAATGAGACCACCTGGCAAAGACAGCAGGGAAGAGTTTGATTTTTACCCGAAGATCTAATCAGATCATCAGATAATACCCTTCTAGCACTCTTCCAGAAGTTATCTCCGCTGGCTTGGCTTGGCCCCGCGTGGCCCCGCGAACCCCTCCGACGGCGGAGCGAGCTTCTTCCAACGACATCCACAGAATATGGTGGAGGAGCCTGCAATGATGCACTGCGTATGGTGGAGGAGTCTTCAATTATCCACTGCGTATGGTGGAGGAGCCTCCCATCATCCACTGCGTATGGCGGAGTCATCCACTGGATTGGCTAGCTCGCCATCACCGTTCTTGGCCTTTGAGTACCCCACACAACGGTGTGCAGTGCGCACAGCTTGGAACGATCAGATAATACTGTCCTGCCTACAGTACTGCCTGCATGCCCCCCCTTACTATCCTCATTAGCTTCATCCCCGTCTATACGGAGTACTGACGGCTTGGCTCAGCTTCGCCCACGGCTTCTCAGTGCCGGAAGAGGTGGTGACCTCTTGTGTTCTTCTGCTCGTTTTCAGATTTAATCAACTCCTAGCCTGATCAAAGACGTGTTATGCCAGCTACGGGTACGTACAACCAGGCAACTACCACGTAATCTATGAGTCTCAAAATGTATACGCGAGTGGGACTTGTTATTTGGAGGCGATTTTTGAGTCTGCAGAGTCCAGACTGCCAGTCTTCTCATGTAACTCCCAGTCCTTCGGAAATGGCATTGACTATGCATATGGATGAAAACCGGCCCCAACCACGGGCTAAGAAAAGTAGCCCTGACTTCTCATCGGCCGGTTCCCTTAAGCCTAGCACATGCCGATCAGGTACTTCGGTGCCGAGGACGGGCTAAAAGACTCCACAGGGGACTTTCAATGCAGTGTGACGACGGATATTCCTCTTCTACGGAGTATGTGTGGTTTCCGTTGTGGTCTACTGCGCAAGTGCAAGTGCAAGGGTCTAAAAAGAGTTTTGCCTGTGCAATATAATTATGTACTTTCGGATGGATTGGTATCCTGGTACTGGCTTGGCTCTTTTCGTTGGTTTTGTGGAATCTCAGAGTTTCATTCAGTATCCTTCTGCCCAAGTTTCTTCAGGAATCAGGCCATGTAGGTGGATTGCACATTAACAATTCCCAATGATACCCTCTTTGAATGGCGATGGCAGCAATCCGACCACTTTGCGGAAGATGCTTTACCCTCTGCTGCCGCCAAAAAACAGTACTGTAAAGACAAAAGGGGCCTCATATTTTGCACTTTTTAGACCTTTGCAAGATGTTCAGTCACGCCTCATTCTTGCTACCGGCGTGGTACTGGCCCTCGCAGCAGGCGCTCCTCTACCAATCATTGGGGTCATATTCTCCAAAATTATCAACCATTTTCCACCCTCGGAAGAAGACGTACGGACAAGAATTTATCAGCTTCTAGCAGTTGGTAAGTCAAGCCAACTTTGAATTCCATAAAGCAATACTGATTTTAACAGCAATTGCATACTTCGCTGTTACGTGGGGATGGGCGTTCTGTTGGGGTATTGTAGGTGCTCGAGTCTCCAGAGGGCTGCGTACCCAGATGGTGCATCGAGCTCTCGGACTTGATCAAACTTACTACGAAACCCAGTGTCCAGATGTGAGTTTTCAATATCCAATGCAAAGTTCTCGCTTACGCCTCCTAGATCACCAGTCGCTTGACTGTTGATGCCCAAACAGTACAGTCTGGAACGGCGGAAAAGGTTGGTATTTTCCTCCAATCCATTAGCTACTTCATTGTAGCTTTTATTGTTGGATTTGTCCTCAATGCGAGACTTACGGGAATTCTTTTCGCGGCAGTCATACCTTCCATGACAATAGTCATTTGCACGGGGACTACTGTCTTGAGTAGATTTTCCAAGGAATCATCAGACAGCACTACAGAGGCTGCGTCGATTGCTGAGGGAGCAATCAAGGCTGTTCAAGTGGTACAAGCTTTTGACGCATTTGACACTCTGACAAAGGACCACGAGAACCATTTGAAAGTTGCGATGAGAGTGGGCCTTAAGAAGGCTATTGCTGGTGCAGTGCTTCTTGGCAGTGTCTTTTTCATAGCGTAAGTTACACATCATCGATCCTAGTTTGGTTACCTACTGACCAAATGCAATCAGATATGCTGCAAATGCTCTGGCGTTCTGGCAGGGCTCTAAAATTGCGGAGAGCTCGTCTAGTGGGGGCGCAGGAACAGTCTATGCTATTGTGTTTTTGATCCTCGATGCTTCATTTGTTATTGGCCAGGCAGGCCCATTCATCCAGTCATTTTCCGCTGCTGCATCTGCCGGAAGTCGAATATTAAGCCTAATCGACTACCCGGATATTCCAATTGACGTCTATTCGAAAGATGGACTTCCTGCCGATCAGCAGACACTGGGACCTGAAAAAGAAATAACCTTCAACAATGTCAGCTTTTCATACCCTGCACGCGCTTTAGACACCGTCTTGAACGACATAAATCTCAAAATCGATACTGGAACTACTGTTGGCATTGTGGGTTCTTCAGGCAGTGGGAAATCCACCATCGCAGCCCTGCTATTGAGGCTCTACGACCCTTGCCAAGGAAGCATCATGATCGATGGGCAGACTATTCCAGATTACAATCTCTCCAGCCTCAGAAATCAGATTGCTCTGGTAGACCAAGATCCCGCAGTATTCTCTGGTACAGTCTACACAAACATCCGAGACGGTTTCAAAGGAGATTTGCTTCCAGAAGAGGACATGAGGGAACGATGCGTTGAGGCCGCGAAAGCCGCCGATGCTTGGACATTCATTGAATCACTACCGTATGGCTTCGAAACCTGGCTCGGAGAACCTGGTGGAACGAAGCTCTCGGGTGGCCAAAAGCAACGACTCTGTTTGGCACGGGCATTGGTAGGAAATCCATCGTTGCTGGTACTAGATGAAGCAACCAGTGCTTTGGATACCATCAGTGAAGCGGCTATTTTGACGTCCCTTGGAAAATCAAGATCAATGAAGCACAGGACGACCGTGATGATTGCTCATCGCTTAGCATCGGTGAAGTCTGCAGACAATATCATTGTGATGGGCAGGGGCCACATTCTGGAACAGGGCAGTCACGACGCATTAATGTCAATCCCGAATGGCGCCTATCGAAACCTAATTGAGGCGCAAAAGCTCTCACCTAACTCGTCCGCGGAACATGAAGTGTCTACCCCAGCTGAAGTAGCATATATAGAGACCGATAAAATCTATCCCGAAGAAAAACAACATGAGACCGAGTCGCTGTCCTCAGGATATACTCCCGACGAAGCCATGTCGTTCGGGACGATTCAGATCATCGGGCGTTGTCTTGCTCTGAGTCGCTCTCGGATATTACTTACCCTCTTAGCATTGGTTGGTGCTCTCATAACTGGAGGTCTGATACTTGGAGAATCAATTATATTCGGCCATTTGGTCTCCCTCCTAAACGGTCCCGTCAACGCAAGTCGAGTAAACTTCTACTGTCTGATGTTTTTTGTTGTCTCACTGGCCGCTCTCATAGGCTACATCACATCGGGATCGTGCTTTGGTATTGTATCTGAACACCTGATCATGCGAACCCGAGATCTCTCACTTCGGACGATCCTTCGGCAAGACATGGAGTGGTTTCTTCAGTCCGGTCGGTCCACGTCCTCCCTTGTCTCGGTCATTAGCATGGACTCGGGTCATTTGAGCGGCTTGTCGGGAGTTATAATTGGGACGATGGTCTCTGCATTGGTCTCTGTTGTTGGAGGGGCTATCTTAGCACACATCGTGGCCTGGAAGATAGCCATTGTTCTCTTTGCTACGTCTCCCGTCGTGGTTCTTGCAGGATTCTTCCGTTTCAGAGTCCTTGCTAAACTTGAAGAAAAGAACCAGTTGGCGTATACCGAGGCTGCATCGTTAGCTACAGAAGCATGTAGCTCTATACGTACTATTGCAGCTTTGGGTACTGAAAAGGCTACTTCGAAGAGATTTGACGTTGCGATTGACAAGTATCGAGAGCAGACATTCCGAAGCACTGCTCTTGGGAATCTTCTCCTTGCTTTTGCATTGTCGATTACGTAAGTACCGGTACCCCATGTTCAAACACATCGTTTTGACACTACTTAGCTACTTTGTCTATTCCTTGGCATACTGGTGGGGGGCAAGACAAGTAAGGTTTGGGGAATATTCCAGCCTCCAGTTCTTCATTGTCCTTCCAGCCATTCTCTTCTCGGCGCAGGCCGCAGGACAAATATTTAGTCTTGCTCCGGATATTGGGCGGGCAAAGGGAGCTGCCTCGAGAGTCTTTGCCCTCCATGATCAAAAGCCAGGCATTGACATCACATCGCATACGACCACTGCCACCCCCACGCCCACCCCCGTTTCTGAAGTCAGGAGGTCATCTTCGTCAACAGGGGCCATTAAGTTCCAAAATGTTAGTCTCACGTACCAATCTCGACCTAACGCTCCTGTCTTTACGAATCTCAACCTCTCTATCAAAGCGGGCGAAACAGTAGCACTGGTTGGCCGCTCAGGAGCCGGAAAGACGTCGACAATATCGCTCATTGAACGATTCTATGACCCTACCGGGGGAAGCATTCTCCTTGACGGCATCGATATCAAGTCGGTACCAGTGCAGCAACATCGTGCGAGAATCAGTCTTGTTGCGCAAGATCCAGACTTATTTTCCGGCAGCGTGGCCTTCAATGTTGGCTTAGGCGCGAGACCTGGACATGTTGCTACGAGAGAAGAAGTCATCGAGGCTTGTAAAGCAGTTGGCATCCATGAATTTGTCAGTGGGCTACCTGATGGCTATGAGACGTGAGTACTCCTTCCTGTTCCTCAAACCCCTGCTTATTCTTTTAGACAATGCGGCAACAATGGTTCACAGCTCTCCGGAGGACAAAAACAACGAGTTGCGATCGCTCGAGCATATATCCGAGATCCGGAAATCCTACTGCTCGATGAAGCAACTTCAGCTTTAGGTTCGCACCCCACCCTCTTCCCATGCAAGCTCTCTTAGCTCTGCTAACAATGTTCTTCTCATAGACTCGCAATCCGAAGCGCAGATCCAAGAAGCTATCACGGCGGTATCGCGCAAACGAACTACAATCATGATCGCACATCGTCTCACCAGCGTCCAAAAGGCGGACCGGATATTGGTATTTGAAAAAGGGAAAATTGTGGAGGAAGGCAGACATGAGGATTTGATGAGAGGTGGTGGCATCTACGAACAAATGATCACGGCGCAAAACTTGGGGTGAGGAAGTATACGTATACGGTGGCTATTCATTTCACATTCTTGCAAGGAGTTGGGGGAGGATGTTAAGACTGCATTGGAGCGAGCATTGGTTGTTCACGCTGTTGATTAAAATTATCTCTACTGCCATATAATACTTTGTCCTATCAAACATGCAAAAATCCCTCGAAATGTTGCAACCAAGCTTCTGACAAGATGAGTTCATTTTCTTTGCCTAGATAGTCTACGGAGTAGAGTCTGCCTTGATACTGTATCTTTGATTTCAATTTTACCAGCCGCTCCTGCCCTGCCAGGCTCGTTAGCACCCCCCCCGTTCCTTCCGTCACATCATACGTAGAAATTAGGAATTGTATAGGATAGGAACATTCGAAGCCAAGCTTTCAGTTTTGCATGCTATTGTTGATCGTCCTTTCCCTTCCGCGCGTGGACACCGTCGACGGTCCAGGACATTTGGTTCTCCCCGAGTACCACCGTCGCCAGTTCATTCTCACGCCACCAAACATCTCAAACACTGGCATATGCATCCTCTTCCCTCTCCTCCCCCTTCTGGCGCCATGTCCGCAAACTAATTACGTTTTTGCGCAGGCAGACCGAGGGCGGGAAAAGATGTCAATGATCATAATAACGCATACCCCCTGTGTCTGGGCATCAGATTACGGAGGTGAGAGATTATCTCTCCATCTGATAAAAATCTTCCCCTGCAAAACGACTCCACTCCTCTCCACTCGGCCAGGATCTGCATGGATCTATCCGATGTCGGATTTGCATGGCATGGGATGGGACGGAGCGGATCAGATAAAAAGGCTTGGCGCGATAGACATGGTCCATGCCATGGTCTGTCATCACGTCATCATAGATTATTTTTCTTTGCCGCTGTCGGCTAAATCTAAGGGAGCGTCGCGTCGACATGGCCGTCTACCTACTGTATACCTGGGTAAGATTACATTCTGCTACATTATAGTATATATTTGCCATGTAGGTTGGTTGATCTGGGCAGCTGTAGCCACTAACCCCAAAGGAGGGATAATCGAAGAATGGGTAATGGCCTCATCTCCTCATCTCAGCCCATGTCAACCACCAACCCACCAACCCACCATCAACCCTGCTCCTCTTCTTTTTCTTTCTTTCACTTCGGCTTGCGTCACTAGCTAGATAGCTGGATATCACTCTATCCACCGTAACCGTATCCCTCTCCTCTTTCACTGACGCCTCGACATGCATCCCGCTACCAAACGCTGCACGCCGCACCGCACCGCAGTAGCAGAGCAGTCCCTCCCTAGTCCTAAACAGCTGATACCTGCAGATCCATCTAGTCTTTCTTTCTTTCTTTCTCTCCTTCATCCTCGGCGGCGGAGACATGCGTCTTTACCGATCGTCTACTCACTCTCTTTAAAGTAATTAGTATATCACCCCTAGCCTAAGATAGTCTCCATCCAATTCATCACATTTACTCAAATACTCATCTTTCTCCTTCCAACTACATACATACAGTACGCCATGTCCAAATAAACTCGCCAGCATCACATCTGGCATAGCACCGGTACTTGATCCAACCAACACCATAAGCACACCATCACAGTCACACATGTTCTTCTAGTTCTTGTTACGTCTCGGTAATCGTGCGCCCCCATCTCGAATCCCACATTTATATTCCGGCGATAAAAGCCATATCCATTCTTCATACATCACCAGACCTGAATCCCACGATTGGCGGCCTAACTGCGGTCGTGTAGCCATCATCAGGCATCAATTTTAGCCACTAAACTCACCACCCTCTTCTCTGTCCAATAAGAGCATCTTGATTTCGAAGCAACGACGACCACTTTGGGAGATATACTCTTTGTACCATCTTGTGGTTCCTGGAAAGGGCAGTTTTTCCATTGCCAAGAGATCACGGAACGGCACGGACAAGTAGGTAAACCGAGGAGCATTTTATTTTGCGTATAGTTACCCCCACTGCGTTAAATGCGTTGTTTATCCGCAACTTCTAATTCGTTCGTATAGGAGAATTTGATACTTTGGGCAACAGAGATAAAAACCCCTCACTTTCTGACTCCTTGCCTGCCTTGAAGATTGAAAGTCACAAGTCACAAGCCACTAGCTCCAAAGGACTATTCGGGGAAAGTCGCGACTACAAGTAACCAAATATCAGCCTCATCAGCTCAGCATGGCCCCTTCTGCTATAAGCCCTACCTCTACAACCCACGAGGTGAACGGTGGACAAGAAAAAGGCACCGCAACTCATCTGGCGGAAACTTACATCTCATCGACCCCTCTCAGCAATGGCCACACTCAAAGTGAGCCCCTCGCTCCCGTCTCAGCACTTGCCAACTCCTCCCCAGACACCACCCTCGATCTCCTCTGTGTGGGTTTCGGTCCCGCGTCTTTAGCCATCGCCATCGCTCTGCACGACGCCTCGCCATCTCCCTCTCCAAACGTCCTGTTCCTCGAGAAGCAGCCCCAGTTCGCATGGCATGCTGGTATGCAACTCCCTGGAGCGAAGATGCAGATCTCATTCCTGAAGGATCTTGCTACTCCAAGAGATCCCAGGTCGCATTTTACGTTCGTGAACTACCTGTTTCAGAAAGGGAGGCTGAACAACTTTATCAATCTGAGCACGTTTTTGCCGAGCCGGATGGAGTACGAGGATTATCTCCGTTGGTGTGCTTCTCATTTTGAGAAAGAGGGGAAAGTTGGGTATGGAATGGAAGTCGAGGGCGTGAGAGTTGGAGAAAGGGGAGCGGATGGCAAAGTCACAAGTTGGGAAGTCACTGCTCGGTCGTTGAATGGAGATCTAGTGAGAAGGAAGGCAAAACACGTCGTTATTGCGGTTGGGGGACGACCAGTCATTCCTCAAAACCTGCAAGGCTTGAAACACGTTGCCCACTCATCTCAATTCGCCTCGGCAATCACTCAAATCCAGGAGCGGGAAAAGGGACGTCAGCTACGCTTTGCCGTTTTGGGCAGTGGGCAATCCGCTGCAGAGATTTTCAACGACATCTCCTCGCGGTTCCCAGACGCACAGGTAAAGCTCATTATCAAAGGCGCTAGCTTACGTCCCAGCGACGACAGTCCGTTGTAAGTCACTCTTCAGCCCCTATAAACACGTGATCTAACTCCCCCTTCAGCGTAAATGAGATCTTCGACCCGGACCGCGTTGACGGCATCTACAACCAAGCGCCCGACGTACGAACTACCGCTCTTGCATTAGACCGCGGTACCAACTACGGCGTGGTGCGTCTGCAGCTACTCGAACATCTATACGAAAAGCTGTACATGCAGCGCTTACACTCGTCCGATGAAGCATCGTGGCGCTGCAAGATCATCCCCCAACGCACTGTTATCTCGGCCTCGCAATCCGCCAACTCATCTGTCCTCCTAAAGCTAGGTGCCGTAGGCTACGGAGATAGCGACCAGAAGCTAGAAGAGCTAGAAGTTGATTATGTGTTCGCCGCCACGGGATACAGACGGAATGCCCACGAGGATATGCTGGCCGAGGTGCGGGACTTGCTCCCGGAGAAGAATAGAATCGAGAACAAGTTTCCCGTGGCAAGAGATTATCGCGTCTGTTATGATGGCGAGAAAGTTGATGGTGAAGCCGGTGTTTGGCTGCAGGGATGTAATGAGGGGACGCATGGTGTAAGTTCTAGATCCCTTTCACCCCATCTGATCCCATCCCATCCGATCCCCCAAATAAAATGTCAAGAAAGCAAGACGCTAATAATCATTGATATAGCTGAGCGATACCCTCCTCTCTATCCTCGCGATCCGCGGAGGGGAGCTCGTAAATAGTATTTTCGGTTCTTTCTCTTCCTCTTCCGTGGCATGATTGGATTTTTGTTCTGTATATTTGCTGGGTGAGTGAGTGAGTGAGTGAGCCAGAGTAGCTGCATCGGCAAGTTATTGTTCTTGTTCTTTTGTAGATTCTAGGGATTGCGATTGCGCTTTTGGCGTTAAGCATGCATGCATGTATTTGCCGCAATTGGCAATTGTCTCTTTGAGATGGGCTAGCTACGGAGAACATATATATATATATATATATATGAGTTTTGGCCGAGGGAAGAGGCTTAAGGGGTAGAGATGAATGAATGAATGCATGCATACATACCCATTTTCACGTTTAGTAGTTTAGTGGCTTTGGGATATTTGATTTGTTTGTTTGTTTATTTGTATGTTTATTTGATCTATGTGTTTTTATTTCTCTTACTATGTGATGTGAAACTAAGACTTTAAACCATCCAACAAGCCCACCAGCATTCCCCACTCCTCCGTGCCCTCCCAACTATCCCTCGCGCGTCCCATAATGCCCCTCACCGCACTCCGCGCCTTCATCCGCCAACTCTTCTCCACCACCCCCACCTGCCCATCCTTCTCCCTCTCCATCGTCCCGTAATTCTCATACGCACTCACCAGGTTATCCGTCACGCCCACTACAGCCTTCCACCCCTCCACCTCCCGCAACCACTCCTCCCCCACCGTCCCCAACCGCCACGCTTTCTCCGCACACGCCAGCGCATCCCCGTAATCCCGTCGATACAGCGCCAGTTTCTCCTGCAGCGTCCACAGCTCCGCGCGCGTCGTGATGAGTGGCACGACGTCCGTCTTCATCATCTCGCCCACGGCGCGCGCGAGGCTGCCGCGCGGGGGTTCGTATACGCCAGTATCTGCTTCGCCTTGGCCCCTTTCCCGCGATATCACTTCGCCGACCAGGGCACGCAGGATGTCGATATCGACGGCTTCTTCTCCTGCGCTGGGCGCGCGGATCCGGATTACGTTTCGGAGGCCTAGGAGGAGCTCGGGGAATGAAGGGGGGGTCATGCGCCCAGCGATCGTGATGACGTTGTCCCAGATCTTCCAGTTGTCGTGTGCGATGCTTGCGCCGCGCTTGAATGCCGCTAGGGCTTGCCGCAGGATATCCTTGGGACTCTCCTGTCGATCGAGTATCTCTTTTACTTCTTCTTCTTCTTCCTGCGTGCTGGTTTCTACGGTGGAGGAGGATAGTTTCTGGAGGGAGATGAGTTCGGAGTATTTGGATAGCAGGGAGGAGCCGAGGTTGGAGTATGTTTTTGCGTCCGTGTTGTCGATCATGATGCTCTGCTGAAAGGCTAGTATAGCACCATCCCAGTTCCCCGTCGCGAGGTCAATGTCGCCGAGTCGGGACCAGGTCTCGTTGTTCTGCCGGTTCACGATCGTGGCGAGCAAGTACGCTTCTCTCGCCTTTTCCAAGTCCCCGTTCTTGGAATAAAACTCGCCGAGTGTGCGTTGGGCGCGCGCGAATCGGTGGTTGGAGATTTCCCACGCGCGTTCCCAGCACGAGGGGTCGTTTTCGAGATCTCCTAGGATGCACCATAGACGTGGGGCGTGTGCTGGAGCTGGAGAGCGGATTTCGCCGGCCCAGGATTCCGTGGCTATGGCGTCGGCGTCGATGTCGTAGACGTCCATCTCTGGCCCTTTGGAAGAGTGATATAGTTGTCTCCGTACTACTTGACGGGCTTTGTCTTCTTGCCCGACGGAGTGGTAGCATAAAGCTACTTCGGCCCACATCTTGAGACGCTTGAAGATCTCGAGGGCGGAGACGAGAGAGCCGGCGCTGGACCAGGCGAATGCGAGTTCGGTCTCGATTTCCCAGCGGGTGGGCGAGGAGAGTTGGTAGATGTAGCGCAGTCTTTCTGGGACGGGGGCGGATTCCGATGCTTTTGCTCGGGGAAGGAATTGCGTGACGCGGATTTCAGGGATACCATTTTCGTCGGATGAGGGTAATTCTTGCGTGTCGGCGATGATTTGGTCCACTATGATTTGTAGTTGTAGAACACTGCGTTCTTGGGTTCGTGAACGGTGCGACTCGATTCTGCTGCGGACTAGCAGGGCTTGGGTGTAGATTTGCCAGTTTGTTGGCTTGTCCGTGAGGACGCGGACAGCGTAGGGTAGGATCTCTTCGCTGTTGAGCTTGTCGAGCGGGGAATAAGTGTCTTTGATAGTGGCTTCTGTGAGGAGCGTGATTTGATCTAGGGGGTTAAGTTGCGGTTGCTGGTCGGGTTGTAAATCAGCCAGCTCTGGTGGTAAGGCTGAGTTTTCCACTTTGTCAGACGTGTATTTGATGGACTCGAGGAGGGTATCATCGTTCAAATCCAAAGCCTCTGGTCCCTTTCGATCCTCAGTTGACAAAGTGCTGTCTTTTAAAGCTCCCGAGAGACTCTCTGTCGAGCTCTCATTCCATTCCCTGCTTTTTGCAAAAACAAGCAACTGTGAGAGATCATTTTGCTGAAACTTGGTCCTCTTCCCCAGAGCTCCAGAAAGAGCATAATGGAAACCCGATGCCTCTTTAGCCATCCGTACATCTTCTTTGGCTTTGAAATCCTGACCTTGCATGATATGAATCTGTGCCTTTTCCAATAAAAACTGAACCCTAGCCTCCGTCCCAAAACCCCCATCATTTGTAAAAATCTCATTCTCAAGACCCTCCAAATCCCTCTCAATAACACTCTGCAACAGCGAGGAATCGACCAGCCTCCCATAAGAGACCCCAGATAACAGACGCTGATGATAAGCGTTGATCCTCAGACGCATCAACTTGCAATCCAAAAGCTCGGCTTGAACAAGCCGTGGGAAGAATACTGTAAAGACCAATCTTGCAAAGCAGAACAGCTCCACGTGTGGGATATGCTGATAAACGCTCACACCATCAACCTCTAAACTCTTCAAACACTGCTTCCGTAACTCGGTACTAATTGTAAAAACATCGCCTAGGTCCAGCGGTGGTCCCGTGACGTTGGCTTGCAGAAAAGTATTGAAAGCTGCTAGTCCAGAAACGAAGACCAGGATTGCCGAGGACTGGTTGCTGAAATTGAGGCTGAGAAGAGCAGCATCTTGCTGGGCTCGAGGAAGGCAGATGGACTCTGACAGCTTGGAAAATAGGCTTTGCGAGGTGGGGTTTCGCAGGATAGGTTTGTAGTCGCCTTCTAGGTAAGAAGTGACCACTTCTGAGAGCTCGGAGATGCCTTTTAGGGACTCGAGGTTGAAGAGTAGGGTATCCAACGAAGACCCCTTGGGGATTATTTCATCTTGCGACATTTTGCTAAATTCTGGTGGAGTTTGATGGACTTGTGAAGGTTTTGGAAAATATTTTGGAAAGGTGGATTTGTAAGCGAACGATTGATATTTTTTTGACCACAACTACACTTCAGTTCCAGACGCTTCCTTGCTACTCACAAGTGTGAAGAAAATGACAATTGAAATTAGTAACCAAGGGTAAAGAATTACTATTTCTATCTTTTCCCCCGGTTTTCATAGACTCTCAAGGCTCTCTAGACCTCGCCTTTGACAGACATGCAATTCAAGTAGAAAGCTGGTCAATACCGCGGAAGTTCAAAAGTTCAAAACATGCAAAAGGGCCGGCTTTCCATATTCTCTGGAGAGTCAGGAAATCCAGTCACCTGCTGGGGCTAGAATGCTTCACCGGGAGACTTCCAGTACTTGTCCATCTGAAATCCCCCCAAATAATATGCAATGCTTCGATTCGGCTGGGCAAGGACATCTGAATTTCTATTCAGATAACCGCAATATGAAAGGTTTTGCACAAGTAATGTTCTACATTGCTGATTCATAGGATCGGTATTTTATTCTATATTTCTGACAATTCCTAGGGCCCCTAGAAAGAACTCTTTCGTACCTACAGTAGCGGAATCATGCAGCAGCCAAAAGAAGAATTCGGCAACCAACCCCACCACCAAACGCCCTTCAGATGACATTCCACCTCAGCCATCAACACCCTATACCTCTTCACCCCGATTATAAAACCCCTATCTAATCCATCAATTATCAGTTCGCCCCAAAAACCCAGAAGCCCAATCCAAAATGCCAGTTCCAGAAGGAACAACAGTCCACCACGCGCGTCGCGAAGGTAAATTCTCTGCTTTACCCCGCCATCTACCCCGCGTATGCCTACCTACTAACAAACACACCACAACCCACAGACGTCCCTACAATCCTCCGCATGATCCAAGAACTAGCAGCCTACGAAAAAGAATCCTCCTCCGTCGAAGCCACGCTCGAATCCCTGCACAACACCATAGCATTCGCGCCCTCCCCCAGCACCCCTCCAACCGCACCCGGCGATTCCATCTCGCCCACGCGCCCCGCGCGCGCGCTATTACTATTCACGCCCTCGGGAGAAGCTGCGGGCCTGGCGTTGTATTTTTATAACTATAGCACCTGGCGCGCGAAGGCGGGGATATATCTAGAGGATCTGTATGTAAGGGAGAACGAGAGGGGTCATGGGTATGGACAGCGGCTGTTGGGGGAGCTAGCGAAGGAGGTTGTGGGGATGGAAGGGGGAAGGTTGGAGTGGAGTGTGTTGAAGTGGAATGAGCCGAGTATTAGGTTTTATGAGGGGCCTAGTGTGGGGGCGACGCGCATGGAGGGGTGGGTGGGGATGAGGGTTGATGGGGAGGCTTTGGGGAGGCTGGCTGGGAGGGCTGTTTGAGGAGGTGGGTGGGCTTGTTTAGGGGGTGGATGTGTAGATAAATGTTGGGGAGGGACATCGTTGATGGCTTCATGAAGAGGAGTTGGGATTGCTTATACCGAGTTATGTATGGGGGGGATTCGACATTCGGAATGCTCTTGGCTTAGGCAGTGCAAGCGAATGCAATGTCGCGCGAGTAATCACTGAATGCTCTCGTCCGCTGTTTATAGCTTGCGATGAGATACTGGTCTGAAGTGGTGTGGTGTCACCAAGGCAGAGGTGTAGTAAACAAGCTTGGAACAAGACTTTAGATTCCTTGCTGGCTTACTGACTTCCGTCAAGGTCTCCTGCTCTGCTTTCTGTTACTCTCCTTCCCTTATGTTTCTTAGCTGCAATCATTGCCTTCTCGGGATTCTCGACTCCCTCAAGAATGTTTTCATCCTTCTGCTTCTTCTCATCCTTAAGTTTGCCAATAAGCTTCTTCTCAGCCTTCAGATTTTTACGATCCTCACGCTCCTTCTTGATATCGTCGAGGTTCTTGTCATTCCTGTCAAAGGGGTGCAATTCTGTCTTCGGAAGCTGCTCTTGTTCCTGGCTCTCTTCGCTCGCCCCTAATGCGTTCAATGCTATTTGGTCTCTTTGCAGTCTCCTTGCCACCCTTTTCTTGACACGGCTCATCTTCCTACCCGACCCAGCCGTTTCTTGCCCGTCTAACAACTCCAAACCCTGGAATAACTCTTCAGCTTTCCCTGAAGCTTGCGGCAGTATCCCTCTGTGAAATGTCGATCTAGTCCCTCCCCATGAGGTCTGCCACTCACCCGTTGCCTCATCTTCTAACATCGTCGGCGTCACATTCCAGATGACGGTATAGAGCCTTCGCATCGTTCGCTGGTAGTTTGATGATGTGATGTCTTCATCTTTAGCTTTTTCCTCCTTAACGACTAAGCCACGGTCTGGATCGAATACGATGTTCCCACTACTCCTTGAGTCCTTCAGTTCCCTCAAAACCGCCTCATGGCTTTGTTCAATGTCATCCCTCCTTTTTTGAAGCGCTCGGCGTGGTTTAATGCCAGCGACCCGAATTGTCCCCATCGATATATTTTTCAAATGGTTCCATTCGTGTAGGGGGACTGGTGGATATATCTTGTCGAGAGTATCCGCCCACCAGGTCTTTATAAGATTAGCCTGCCGTGACTTTGGCATTGCTTGCCCCCAGTTATTTTCCGATGGAATAGTAGGCAACAATTTCTTCAGCTTGGATCTAGCAGAGGAAGTCTCCGGCGAGGGTCTCATGAGCTGACTCTTCAAGAAAGCTCGGAGCTTCTTCGTTGGCAAGATTGACAGCGCTCCTGGGCCCTTGGGATTTTTGAAGAACTCTTCTATTGCGGCTTTGGTTTGAGGGGGGTCGCTGTCCGCGGGGCGTAGCAGATCTACCACCAACTGTCTCCTTCTCTTGCCATGTCGTCCGTATGTAAACGAGAGGATCTTGTACAAGTCTTCCTTGTTGCCTCTGCCAGCTCGGTCCAGGCATTTTGCAGTTTGCACGGCTTTCTTCAATCGTCGATGAGTGACTTCTGCCTCGGCGTTTTTTCGGGCACGCGTCCTGAATCTTTGTTTGATTTGGTCTTGTAGGATCGTTCGAGTGAAGGCGTCTGGGAAATAGCTTGCTGCGCGGAGCAAGGACCGGTAGGCGTGAATAGGATCTCTTGGCTTGCTCGAGGTTGGTTCGTCGATGCTGGTCTTAGCTTCGTGTAGCGTTGAATAGCTATGCCTCTGTAGTTGCAGATTGTTCGAAAGGCGGCAGAAAAGGCACGAAGTTGGTCGCAACATTCTGCTGGTCAAGCTGACAGAAAATACAGTACCTATTGATTAGACATTCAGATGGCCAGACGCACGGGCCACCATACAAAATCCCGCGTTCACCATTCTATATGTGATCAAGGGAAAGGGCAGCCAACTAGGAGTAGGTATTCGCAACAGAAGAATTGTTCTAGTACAGCTGAGACATCCTGCACCAGCCCATTTCCTGAATAACCTCATTGTCCAACACAGCGAGTTGTGCCCTTCCTGTTTAAGCGTTGATTTTTATGCACGTAGCCATGCGAGCCATGGTCTTTCGTCGCGTCACGGCCATCCAATCAGAAGCGAGAAAATTGCGCACTTTAAGCTAGAAGGCGCGACACACGTCCCCCTCCTCAGCGCGTTCCTCACTTTGACCGAGATTATCAGAGACAGAGACATTTCTAGTAATACTACAACGACAATCCTCCGTGCTGCACTGCACTGCACCGCACTGTACTGTATTGGCGACAGCGACAACAAGAGTCAGTCGAGCCATACTCAGCTCATCCCACCTTCCCAACAAGTGACAGTACGCGGCAAACTCTTCCTTTCCACGGTGCTGCTATTCCGCAATCACCTCCCTCCATGGCCTCGGCAGCAATCCCTTCGAATCCCCAACCCCTGGCGACCACTTCACGCTCTCGCCAAAACCATCTTAGCAGTCGTTCATTCCCTGCCGCCGCCGGTGTTTACGAGGACCAAGAATCACAGCCGCCGCGCTCCAGTATGTCCTTCAATATGAGCCAAGGCTCTCAAGGAAGCGGACTAATGGCCCAACCATCCGGCCCATTCAGACAGTATGACGGAGGAAACAGTGCAATCAATCGTAGAGATGCTGCGCCCCAGATATACTCGGTCAGTATTGTCCCAAACTGCTTGGAACAAGTAAACTAACTGTATGCAGGCTATATATTCAGGAGTTGATGTATACGAGATGGAAGTCAATAATATTGCAGTAATGCGCCGGCGTAAGGATAGTTGGTTGAATGCGACTCAAATATTAAAAGTTGCTGGCATTGAGAAAGGAAAGCGTACGAAAGTGCTCGAAAAGGAAATACTTATTGGAGAGCACGAGAAAGTGCAAGGTGGCTACGGAAAGTACCAAGGCACCTGGATTAAGTTTGAACGAGGTCTAGAATTCTGCCGACAATATGGTGTCGAAGAGTTACTACGACCACTTCTGACCTATGACATGGGACAAGATGGCGGAGTTGCCGGACGAGGTGGAATAGATACTCCCACGAAGGAGCAGGCAATGGCAGCGCAACGCAAGAGAATGTATAGCTCTTCGGAAAACAGATCAGGTGGTCAGTCAGGAACTTTCTTCAAGAACATCTCGAGCACTGCATCCCATGCCGTTGCGGCCATCAGCAAAGCTCGCTTCGATTCACCAGGTCCTCGCATAAGGAACAGCAATGCTGCAACGCGTCCATCTAGTTTCAGTAGACAGTCTTCACAGCAACATCTTAGCTCGCAAGAATCTGCCTTTCCTGGCGGCTCGCAGCAAAGCATACAGAGTTTTGCCTCCAATGATAGCTTTACGGCAAATGGGCAAGACTCGGCGTATGCAACGCAATTCTCTCATGGATTGCCAGATGATACTCGTAACGGAGACTTTGAGGAGCCCCCAAGGAAGAAGATGCGACCCACACCTGCCGAAAATGATACCCAACAAGCAGGCGGCTATTACGATATGTCCATGCGAGATGGTACCCCCACGGAGCCAAATGAGTCCTTTGTTCACTATTCACAACGCGCCCAGGTTGACGAAGTCAACATGCCGATACCACCGCTAGACGAGTCTACTATTCCTGATATCGATACGAAGAGGCGTCTTATTATGACCCTCTTCCATGACCCACTGCGGTCGGATTTCAGCAGTCATGATGTCTTCGGCTCCTTGTCCCCTCAAGACCTTGATATTCCAATTGATAATGCGTTCAATACTGCATTGATATGGGCTGCAACTCTTGCTCGGATTCCTCTCTTGAAGGCTTTGGTTGCGGCTGGAGCGAGCCCTAATCGGGTGAATAGAAGTGGAGAGACTGCGTTGATGCGTTCTTGTGCAGTTACCAACAATCTTGATCATGGCACCTTTACCGATGTCCTTGAACTTCTTAGCTCTACTATAAACTTTACCGATTCGCGTAACAGAACGGTCCTGCATCACATAGCCATCACATCTGCAGTCAAGGGTCGAAGCTCTGCCAGCAAGTACTACCTGGAATCTCTTCTCGAGTTTGTTGTTCGCGCAGGCACTGCATCTAATAGCCAAACATCTTTCGGCAACGGGGCACCTCCAGCGGATTCGATGAATCTTGGTCGCTTTATGTCTGAAGTAGTCAACATTCAAGATAGATCTGGCGATACTGCGTTAAATATCGCCGCTAGGATTGGAAACGCAAGTATCATCAACCAACTTTTGGAAGTTGGTGCAGATAACCAAGTCAGAAACCACTCTGGTCTCGCCCCTTATGATTTCAATATTGGAGATCGACCTAATATTGAGCCTCAATCTGCTCGAATACCCGCCCCTGATAAATATACTTCACGGACAAAGGAAAGCAGTAGTAATATAATCACATGTAAGTTATCCTCTTCTTGGAAGATGGACAATTCTGACCTATATAGCTATCTCCTCCCTTGTGTCTGATGTTGAGAGCGAATTTGCTCGTGAGATGGAGATGAAGCAGATTAGGATCGATACTCTTCACACCCAATTAAGAGACTCGTCAGCAATGCTTGGAGAACAGCGCCGAAGGGTTGAAACCCTGCAGGCAAGGGCTACTGAGCAGAGCACTCGGAACCTCAAAATTGAGAACCTTACTCGAGCTGTCAATGAAGAGCGCGCGAAGCTTCAGGACATGCAGCGAAGAATGGGACAGGTCAATGGAGAAATCAATATGCAATTAGGCGATGCCGATAAGGGGCTGGCACTTCCCGCCGGTGCAGTACCGGCGAATGTTCTAGCAAACATCAACCCAAATCCTCATCAACCTCTCATACTTGACCAGGCACAACGACAGCTGTTGAAGGCCCTGCCACCGACGCACGTCCTTCGCGCTCGGGTTAATGCATACAAGGCGAACAATCAAGCTTTAGAAGAGGATGTTCGGGGTCTCGAAGGCAAAAGCTCGGAACTAGCAGCCAAGTACCGCAAGATTATCGCCTTGTGTACTGGTACAGAGAATGTTGATGACCTTGCGGAGGCTCTTGTTCGCGCTACAGAGAGCGATGCTGATGTCGAACTTCCTCGTATTCGCGACTTTTTGCAACGTGTAGACGGCTCTTAGTGATGTGTCATGAAGCATTGGGATAGGCGTTTTGTCAGAACATAAGGCTTGGGTTTGGCGCTGATCGATTTACGGTGTTGGTCTGCGTTGGAACCATCATGGGAATGAAGGTCAGGTGCACGGATATAGGATTCGTATTGATTGAAGTGGGATGGATATATGAAGGTATGTCTGGAGTAGCATGTTTATTCATAGAGACATAGTTCAATTGCCAATATCACTACGGAGAATTCAATCAAGTCGTCGTTCTACTAGTGACAGAATGATTTAGAAGCTATGAGGCTTGGGATGAATACTTCCAAAGTTCACCAGTGGAGTGGTTCTTCCTTTGGATCAAGTGGCTAGAATCTCCCCAAATCGCTTTTCATGGGAGCAAGGAATCTAACTCCCCCTCCTCTCGCCTGAACTTTCTTAAATTTTTGGAAAGTATCGATTTCACCAACAATACAAGCAAGTACCTCAATGTTCGTCCTAGCATGTCGTTGAAAGATTGATATTAAACACGAAGAATAGGAGCAAGGGGTACGATGCTTCGGGATAAAATCTTGTTCTTCTCATATTGTTTTTGGTATCTTGTTCGTCTAGTCTTTGACTCATCTATCATATCATATGCCATCTCAAAAAAAAAAAAATATCTAATGCCAATCCAACGCCTCAAAACTCCATTCCCACCACGCACGCACACTCGCTTGAAACTCATCTCCCCATCTATCTACGAAGAAGATCTCAACTCAGCCTCCTCAACCCTCAATTCCATAACCTTATCCCCATCATAATGCACCTCCTCCAGAGCACCACCCACAGCACCAGACTGGAACGCAGATTCCCCAACCACATCCTTGACGCGCAGAATATGCCTACCATGTCTCAACCAGTGGAACGTCACGTAGCCCAGCACGAACACGAAGCCCACAAGCGGCACCACGTACGAGATACGCGTGCCCGCCGAATCGGCAATCGCGCCCTGGATCGGGGGGAACACAGCGCCGCCCGAAACACCCATGACGAGGATTCCGGCACCGCGACGCGTGTGTCGGCCTAGGTTGGCCGTGCCGAGCGTGAAGAGCGTGGGGTACATGGGCGCCTCGAAGAAGAAGAGCACGATGAGCACGGCGACGGCGGCGGTGCCATGGCCGGCGCAGATGTAGGCGTTCAGGGCAATAGCAATGGTGGCGTAGACCATGAGTAAGAAGTCGGCTTGGAAGACTGTCGCGAGGGCTGTGGCGAAGAAACGGCCGACTGTGAAGGTGATGAGGGCGTAGGATAACATGTTTGATGCTTTGGCGGCGGAGAAAGTGGCGTTTTCAGTCGCGTAGTTGATGAAGAAGGAGGCGACAGTTACTTGGGCTCCAACGTAGCAGAACTGTGCGACGAAGCCGAAGATCATGTTATATTGCTTGTACAGCGGACCCTGGCCTATCTCATTGCCGAACTCGTCGATGGCGAAGTTCTCGGACGGCGTGGAGGAGTTGAGCATTTCCTCGGATATTTCGGGGAGTTTGGTGACGAGGAAGAGGACTGCGATTGCTACACCTGCACAGGCTACGGCGAGGTACACGAATTGCACATTGACGAGACTGTGCTCGTTCTTGCCGGTGAAGAAGAACTTGGATGCGATGAGGGGGCCGATGAACGATGCGACTCCGTTCCATGACTGACAGAATTGCAGACGAGCAGAGGCGCTGGCTGGGTCGCCAATAACAACTGCATACGAGTTTGCGGCCGTCTCGAGGGTTGCGAGACCACAGGCGATGACCAGAGTGCAGGCGCAGAAGCCGCCGAAGGAAGCAATGCGGTTTTGGAATGTGCTGAAGTGTGCTGTGGGCCAGAACATAACTGCGCCTAGAGAGTAGAGAGAAAGACCCATGAGGATGGTGATCTTATAGCCTTTGCGCTTCATGACTTCAGCTGCGATGGGGGAGAAGAGGAGGTAACCACCGCCGAAGTAGACGACTTGGAGACCGGTGGATTGGAGCTTGGTGATATCGAGGACGGTCTGGAAGTGCTTGTTGAGGACGTCGAGGAGGCCATAACTGAAACCCCAGAGGAAGAAGAGCGAGATGACTAGTGAAAGGGGGAAGATCAAGGCCTTTCCTCTCAGGAAACCAGACGCGAGCGCCGGTGCAGCAATGGGGATCCCTCCTGCCATTGTGGATGCTTCACGAGGAGTGAGAGATGGATAAGAGGGTAGATCTCAAGCTATGAAGGATTGTGATGGTGGAAGGAGGAGGAGAAGGGATGAATGGTGAGACTAAAAGCCCTGATATGTCAAAGAAGGCGAGAGAAGTTGCTGATAATGTTCGGTATACCGCTGGGTACCATCATGTCTTTATACGTTTCAATCCCCTTGAAGCCTTTTCGCGGAGTCTCCAGACCCCATCTCCCCATATCACTAGTTAGTGCCAATGCATTACATCTAGACAACACTAGACTCCCCCAGATTTGAAGTGGACTGGCATCATTCTCTAGCAGACAAACCCAACTTTTAGCTCACGGTCCGGTTCCAAAACGAGCATACCCCGGAGACCCACAACACAATGGGATAGGCTCATACCTTGTAACTTACCTAGACCTCCAAAGAAGGGTTGAAGAAGTAATAAAAGCTGTAAGTATATGCAGATAGCGTCATTTGGGACTGACAATCTGCCTCTGCCTCTGCCTGTAGAATCGCAGATGGATTGAGGCTATCGAATTGCATCTTGACTTGTGACTGTGACTGGTGTTGTGCCGCATTGAGCCTCCCAAGCACTCTCCTCAAATACTCTTCACACTCTCGAACGATTCTCCATTTCAAGATTTCGAAAAGACTTCACGAGCCCCTCATCAAGCTCAAATTCGATAGTATCCGCTAAGATACGAAGTGGGGTTTTCATCTTGCGGCAGCGACTCGCTCCCGTAACAATTTTCGCTCTCGGGCGTGGCCGCTAGTCTTGATCCTTATCCCCAGGTCTCAGTTCTCGGGGGTATTATGGATCCTGGGGCAACGGAAAATCCCCAGATAGCATGGCACCACATCGGCATCTTCAGCCTCCTGTATCCATTGAACTCGTGTCGTCGGGTCTAGATGCGGCCCAGGTTACCTTCTAGGTTATAATATCCTCATCTTAAGAGTATGCTAGGCCTACTCGAGAGATGGTCGAACTTCGGCAATCTATCATCATCTGCTGACTAGAGTAGCCCTCAGATAGAACGGAGTGAGAATCGCGTGACTGTCTAACAGATGAAGTGGTTTGAGAGAGATGAAGCGGTGGGAATGACACTGTCTGACTCGCGGGCTTTGCTTTTGGGGGAGTTTGGCAGCATTTTTCCAGTCGGTCACGCGTCCAAGTACGAGTACAGAGTAAGACTAGACTGCGAAGAACTGTGTGAACTGTTATTAACACTGCCATCATCATCATCATCATCATCATCATCATCTGTAATTGCAGTGCTGGTCAAACATTTCTTGCAAAGCAATACTTCCAGATATTAAAGTAAATCAGCTCATCACGGTAGGTTTAGTATTGCGTATTAACAAACAGCACCTCCTGATAAACTCCTAAAAAGGCAATCTTCTAGAAGCGTAACTAAATCTTTCTAGATCTGGCCTAGACCTTCCCTAGGACTCCTAGTTCTTAGTTCTGTAGGCAAGTGCAAGGTAGTTTCAGCGAGAACCCCTGTCAGGCAGTCAAAGCGTCGAATATGGCAAGATCTGATCTTAGCGTCATAAGGTAGTCAGTCATGCATGTTTCTTAGCCTTATGTTTATGGTCCGGAGTAATGCATTATACTATCGAGAGGATTCTGGAGAATCTCCGGATTGGCTGAGCTGGAAGCAGCATTAGTTCATTAGTCTAAACATCGTCTGGACTGTTTGCCAGTGCTAGTTCCTACTTTCTCCTTGGACGCGTGGTCCTAAAAAGACAGAAAAAGAACGCTAGGTGAAATGGAAGTCTAATTGGCCTACAAAATGTATAGTAGAACAGGGGGACGAATCTAATTGACTTGGAAGAAATATACTAGTAGGAGCATCTTTACATATGTTCTCTCTTTTACTAGGCGCAATTAGACTTCTCTCTCTCTTTACAAAGCGTAGTTACACTTCTCCTCTCTTGCATTAGGCACAATTATACCTTCTCTTCGCTTAAAAAGTTATAATATATCCTTCTTGCCCTCTAAGCTCGCTAGCACCTTCCTTAGTAGCCATCCTTTACTTCTACTTAGATAAGAGTCATAAGACATAGAGCTGGTAGTAGGCAATCCATAGTCAACGCCTCCGAACCTGCGTAAAGCCGCGGATATGGTTTATCACCAGCCTTATCGTTCTTCTTACAATAGACTTAGACACATATGGTTTTCTAATTCGTGGACGCCCTCATCTATTATTCCCCTCACCGTTGTGCTTCTACCGCGCTGCATGCTTGATCCTCGACCTCGTGAGCACATCTATGATTCCACTAGCAAAAAGGTCTCGACCTACCTGACGTTGAGAGCCACAGGTTAACAGGGAAGTGCCCGGCACTGCAGCAAGTAGGTATGGTGTAGCAAGCGCCTTCCCCATCTTCACTTTCAACGCTTGAATCCGCGCTATTTGTTGCAGCTCATGCGTTAAAGCTCAATTTTGTCATTGGATAGTTTGGGTTCAAGTCAAAGCGCTGTCTTTCTATCAAAGAGAACACTACCACCCGCCTCTCCCTCCATGTAATCTCCAAAGAGGCGACATTAGACCTTCTACTGCCATGCCGAAGCTTTCTGTTCCGTCTTCCAGACTTTAATAGCCTCGCTATCAAGCGGCGGCATCTCAAACCCTTGCAGACGCCAGTATTTCTTATCCGTATCCATAATATTGAACTCCCACCTACAGCACATGACCCATTTTATTAGCCTCTCGTCTCTCATTCCCCCTTCCATTTCTTTCCTCGTAAAGAACGACAACATACCTCCATCCCCTACTCTCAAACCGATTCTTGAACTCCTCCCCCACGAATCCCAAAAACGTCTTCGTCATCTGCTCTCCCCGCTCTCCTTCCTTGGCAAGGTTGATGGCGATGTGCTCCATCGTCAACCTCACGAATTTGCCTTCTGTTCTCTTCCCCCCGAGGAAAAAGGAATCTTCGGGGACCTATGTTTATCCTTTGTTAGCTTTTTGAATGCTTGATGAGCAGGGAGAAGTGGGGATGGGACCTCATGGAACACAATGTCGACGAAGAATGCAGGCATTGCTTTTGCATATTGTGCTGTAAAGATCGTAGCTAGGTCTTGTTTCTCGGCCGGAGTCAACTGGCCCGGGCTGGTATAGAACTTGAGAAGAGGCATTCTAGTCTTTAGTTTTGGTGGCGGTTTGAGATTGAAAATGAAGTGAGTTGGATTATGATGCTGAATATTAATGAAAAGCAGAGATACTTGCTCTACTTTTGTATCTCATCTTCCAGCTATCCAACTACCTTTCTGATATGGAGTGGGTATCTATTGTTTAGTGATCAGAACGTTTACCGTACCACGCAACGAGACTTCGGATCACTAATCCTGAATCTCGGATGCAGAAAAATGCCCGAATAGATACCTTTCCATGGACGAACTCCTTAACTATTGGTCTCTAAACAGCTGGCTGAAAAGGTTGATATTAACGTGCGGGGCATGGGACTTGCGTAGGGCTGTGTTGTGTGGATTTGATGTTTAGTGATCTTGCAACACTTCTCAACATCCCAACAAAACGAACTCTTTACGAGTAATTTTAGTCTTTCTGAACATGGAGTCTTAGAAAAAGAACTCCGCCTCAGCGCAATAATAACATTGTTTTTCTATCCTATTACAATCTCCTTGTTGAATAAAACGGAGGACTGTTCAGGTGAGGGTGGGGGTTTGAACGTCATTTGAACAAGAAGCGGGTTTTTTTGGGACGCTAATGAGGAACCAGTATTCGGCCAGATATGCCCTGAGAATTCTATATTCTGACGCAGCGCGGATCACAAGTGCTTGCTATTCAGTAATCCTTTTTATATCTCAATATATTCGACCGATGGGTCTCTTCTTGTATCTCCCTTCATTTCCAATATTCGTCGATTAAACTAACCGCATTGCATAAATTCTATATTTCAACAGCCAAGGAAGATGATACCTGCTCGTATAGCAATATGTTGGATCAACCAAGAGCTGGGGGAAAGAAGCTCATTATAGGTCAGGGAATGAATGCTTACTGGCTGCCCCCCTATTCCTCGCTAAACAGTAAACAAACCGGAACCCGAACACCAGACAAAAAAAAAAACAATCAGCTTTCCTACCACCCTAAATAGTATCACATAAGGAACCAAAGGTACTATGTAGATTTATAAACCCGGCAGGTTATGCTATGCGACTATGAAATCATGAAGGAAAGAAAGGGGCTTTTCGGAAAGTACAGCACTTACCACAAGAATGTAAATACCCTCAACGATTATCGCCAATGACCACCCCAGGAATGCAATCCTCTTTTCACATCATCTATAACGAACCAACACACCTCAAAACCCATCTTCCAGAACTCCTAGCCAGCTAAGTGAGGTCAATCCCTAAACACCACTCCACTTCCACTCCAAAATGCCCCCCAAAAAGGGCACCGTAATAGGAAAATGCCTCTGCGGCAAAATAACCTACAAATACACCGGTAC